CTTTCTCAACTCTTTCTTCCCTCTCTCCTTCCCTTCTTCTCTCACTTCCTCCCTCCCTTTATCCCTCCCTCAATCCCTATCTTCCTATTTTTCTTCCTTTTTCCTCCTCCTCCTCCTCTTTCTCCTCCTCCTCCTGGTTCTTCTCTCTCTTTCTCACTGAATTGAAAATTAAGATGGAAAACAGGTTAAAGAAATCAGGCTCTTCCAAATAGCCATCATTTGGCTCCTACAGTTATTAACCTAGTATAATGCTGTTGTATGGATTCCCTCAATAGCAGCTGCTTCCAGCCTCACTTAGTTTGTAGCAAAGCCAAGATCACATGTTTTCTTGGTAAACATTTTGGTTTTCATTTCTCAAATCAAAGACTTCTAAAAATAATAGACACAAATTCTCATACTTAAAGACCCCAGTATTGTACTATTATCAACTCTAGTAAGAGTTCCGATGGTGTGTGGTGTGTGTGTGTGTGTGTGTGTGTGTATAAATTGGTAGATATTGTCTTCATGTTGGAATTTGCACTAGGCCTATGCAGTGTGTCTGGTACAGCATTCTCTCCTTCTCTCTGTGGAGTTTACCTTCCCCTTTTTATTATCTGATGTAGGAGTGAACCCCGCAAAGCTATCCGCCTGTGTCAGTTTACATGTCCCCGCCCTCATGGGCGGATAGCTTTGTGGGGTTCACTCCTACAATCTGAGACTGGAGAAGCTGGACATTTTGTGTGGTAGATGATCTCATGACCAAGGCTGCCAGGGACTGTCCATGTTGTTGCTGAACATGCTTCTCAAAGATATACATTTTCCAAAAATTAGTGCACAAGTGTGGCTGGTCCTTCAGGAGGTTCCTGTCCTCTCCATGTTAGCAGTCACTAATGGTCATGACTGGGAACCATTTCCCCCCCAGGGATCACAAAGTAATTGCCAGGATCCATTGTCCTGTGCTCACTGGATACAAAACTAGGAGGAGAATGTTTCCACCATTAACTCTTGTCACTACAATAGAGCTAGTGTAAAGTAGGACGGCTCCTGGTTGTGACTCTCCTGAAGGTAACAAGCTGTCAACATGGTGACTGAAGGTTTTTGCTTGCTTGTTTGTTTGTTTTGATTTAAAGACCATAATCTGCTCTCAGATCAACATATGTTTTTTGGAGCTGGAGAGAAGAGGACACCAGCCATAATGGTGTCACTACAGCTGAAGCAGAAACCATGATTTTGAAGATTAACATGGTGCCTCTTGCCCATATCTAGAGCAGCCTGTAGGGGCTTGTATTTATGAATGAAGAAGTGATAGCTTTTATTTTCTTACTCTTGGTTTTTCCTCCCCTCCCTGTCTTAAAAAAACAATCTTGCTTCATGGAACTTTTTGTTTTTTTTTTTCATGGTGAAACACTTTGGAAGGAAATTTCTGAAATACATGGAAATATGTTTAGTGAGGCAAATGGCCCTGATGCTCTGAAGAGGGTTGAATAGAATGAAATGAACATCTGCCATTTGAATTGTGCCTATAGTTTGTCTCATCTAGGGAGTCCTATATCCTCCCTAATCCTAACAGCAGCTCAACAGGAGAAGACAAATGCATCTTTAACAACAAAAATGCTGCTGGGGAGGTTCATGAATTAAGCCCAATTCTTCTGGTAGAAACCTATAGAGTGTTGAGTCACTTGCTACGGTCCCAAACATCATGCCTGTCCTTTCTTTTTTGTTTCCCATTCAGCCACTGTCAGTCCACCCTAAGCAAATCAGTTTGCTTGCAGCTCTACAGAGACCTCTCTCATAGACATCATCTTTCTTTATTTATGGAGCATGACTCTCTCAGCACAGCATGAGTCCAAACTCAACTCCCACTTCTTAGCCTTATTTGTAAGAGTCATGCATATTCACAGAATCTTCCTTATGCATTTTACCGTGTGTGTGTGTGTGTGTGTGTGTGTGTGTGTATGTGTGTGTGTGTGTGTGTGTGTGTGTGTGTGTGTGTAGAGAGGGCAGAGGATGGCATATGACATTAGGTATCTTCTTCAATTGCTCTCTATTTGATTTCTTGAAATGGTGTCTCTTAAGGAATCATAGCTCACCTATTTGTCAAACTGGCTAGCTGGAAAGCCTCAGTGGTATGCCTGTCTCTACATACTCACTTATGGGATTGCAGGCATGCATACCACCATGTTTTGCTTTTTACCTGTGTGTTACGGAACCAGACTCAGGCTCTTATGCCAACATAAATGCTTTACAGCTGAAGCAATGTACCTTCCCAATGCTTACATTTTTACCTCCTTATAATTTTAGCACTTATTTATTTTATGTATACATGGGTGCACATGTGCACAGCATTCCATGTACATAAGGGAGACATTTTGCTGGAGTCAGCTCTTGCCTTCAACTATGTTGGTCTCAGGGATTGACCTAAAGTCTTCAGGCTTGGCAGCAAGAGCACTTACCTGTCAAGCATCTTGCTAGCCCTGTTATTACTTCTTATCTGAAGTACATGGAAAAAATAACTGCAGGGTGGTGTTGAGTTGGGAAAGAGACTGGAGGATAGGGAAGTGAAGAACAGATTTAATTATGAACAAAGACAAGGCCTTTATTTTTCACCTTTTCCTTGAGTCTGAAGTCAATTTAACTTTGTGAACTTGAGTCAATTACTCAACCCACTCAATTTCTCTGTTCTGACTTTCCCCACATACAAAGTATAGGAGGGAATACCTGACTTGGCCTTGCATGGAATGATTGTTGGGAAAAAGTAGGTGGTCCTGGAGTCAGCCACTCTACACAATTCCCAGTGGCATTTTCTTCGCCTTAGCTTCTTTCTGGATGTGCAGCTGCATTCCCAATTTATGAAGGTCACTCTTCAGTTATTACAGTAGAAGAGCACAGAACAAGGTTTCTAGTGGGTGCATTGTTGGAAGTTAGATTCTGACAGCAGGATGCTTAGTTTGAATTCTAGGAGAGGTGTACATGGACACAAGTGTGTACAGTACCACAGAAAACATATGAGGATAATTGTACCAAAAGAAAATCTTACTCTAGTAGGTAAGTGAAATATGAAAGTATGAAAGTGGATAACCAAAATGTATGCAAATATTTTTGAAAAAAATACTGATTATAGGCACTTGAAGAAAAGTGGCTTTAACGAGAGGAAGTGCTTGATGTAGATCTCTCCCAGAGATCCTGAAGGAGATTTGGGGACACTTAAAACATTACAGAAATTGATGCCACACATTTATAATCACACGTTATTTAATTTCCATGATTTCTTGACATCAGACTCTAGCTCTTGTCTTTTCCATTTCGTGGTGAAGATAGAACAGCAAAGAGACTGAGGAGATAATTTCCTAATGTAGTCACAAGTAGAAGACAAAAAAGCTTGGAATATCAAGTTTAATAGCCACCACTACCCTACAGGTTAATAGATATCAGATGCAAGGTGGCTTATCCTCCCCCACTACTAATATTCCTATTCAGTGGCTTGTTTTGTTTAGTTTGTGGTCAATTTTCTAATCCAAGGATAATATGAATGTCTTAAAAGCCACAAATCATGGATTCAGTAGTCTCCCCATGACCACTCCAAGACATTTCATACCAAGTTGATGTCTAATTGGGGCGTCTACCTATTTTTGTCAATACTATGTTCTTACTATTCACAAATACCTAGACTAAAATTGTTTGTTTGCTGAGACTGGCTTTCACTACACAGTTCTGGTTGGCCTGGAACTTTTATGTAGGCTAGATGACCTTGAACTCAAAGTAATTCTATTGCCTTTCCCTCCATAGTGCTGAGATCAAAGGTGGGTGCCACCACACTTTCTAAATTCTAAAATTTAGTTTATGAATTAGACACAGTAAGAGATAGATAAGAATATTAAAACAGAACTGTAACAGTATGCTATAGTACATTAGTCACCATCACTCTTTCTATGGTTGGGCCATAGAAAAGTGATACTTACCTGAACTCAGTCACTGTGATGCACGGTTGACCTGACAATGGAGGCAACTCTTGAATGGACAACAGGAAATGACAATAGTCTTCACACCATGGAAATACTGAGAATAATGATGACTTACACCCCACACAGACTTTACTGAGATTTTACTGTTGCTCAGAACAGGAGAGGGGAGGCGGGGCACAGCTGCCACACAATGTATGCATCTATGTAAATACATCAGTGAGCCAAATAATTTCAATAATTCATATATGCAAAAAGAAAAATGATGGGGCCTTGGATGATGGCTTAATGGAAGAATGCTTGTTATAGAAGCCGAAAGAGTTGAGTTTGGACCCCTAACCCCAGGTAAAATCCTGGTGTGGTGGTGTGTTCAGGTAAGTCTAGCTCTTGGGTATAGAAACAAGAGAATCTCTAGATCTCAATGGCTAGCCAGTCTGACAAAAATATTGAGGTCCAGATTGAGGGAGAGACCTTGCTTCTGAAAATAGTGTAGAGAGCTTTAGAGGGAGACACCCAACATTGACTTCCTCAACATAGGTGAGCACATACTTACCCCCAGCACACCTGCAATCACAACCACACATAGTCATACATATAAAATGAGGTATGCATTACATTTGTGTAATTTTAACTGCCCTAACAGCTACATTAAGAATTTGAAGCAAATAAGTAGGAAGACCTAGGAACACTAATTTCTATAATCTTCCATTAATTTTCCCAAATCACATTGACTGCAGTAATGGAAACTGGAAAGTGAGACCATGGCTAAGGTTTGGTTCTCCTCTTTTGATAGATTTTTCATAATTTGAACGCACATCCTCAGTGGGCACCCCAACGTCTTGAAAAACATCCAGGTATTTACTAGGAGCACTTTCATTATGTGCTCTGCTCAATTGCAACCTCATAGTCACTTTCTTAACTCCTGATGGCACAGGGTTGTTTCCTCTCTCACAGCACTCAGCTCTTGGTTGTTACGTCGTCACTCACAGTGCAGCATGATTGTTACGTCACCCACAGTGCAGCATGTTGTTGTAATGCCCCTCACAGCACTCAGCATGTGGACTCAGCATGTGGTTTCCCTTTGAACTTCTTTTCTCCTGTGGATTCTAGAGACACACCCAGTACTGTTTGCAACTTCAGTGAGTTTATTCTGTCATAACTGTAGTTTCTTTGATGGAGCATCCATTAAGTTTTTTCTGCTTGAAATTCAACTTATTATTTTTTAAACACGGTAGTACATTTCTAAAAGTTAGATTGTCCTTACGCAATGTCAGCACACATGTACATGATGCCTGCTGACTACTCTCACCAACCACCTCCCTACCACTCCTGCGTACTCCCTTCTTCCATGCCATATGTGTTCATATGTTTCCTTTTGGTCTGAGATCCATGGCCATCTGTGTGACTGGATTTACAGTTGTCCACTGGTGCCTCAACACTACATTCACAAAGATGGCAGCCATGCCTCTCTCATAATCCATAGAGTCAATGGTTCAAATGTAAGGAGGAGGGGTTCTTGCCTGATGGTTTTGCCAGTCTGATGTGGGCTCAGTGGGTGTCACCACACTTGCTGTGAGTTAATGACTGCAGTGTTCATATGACATCTAGACTGTCTACAGTGTTTCTTGTATATATGGCACACATATATGACATACATGAGAGATGAGGCTGCGTTTTCATTCCTTGGCATTCTTCACTCTGCTCCCATTAAAGAAATACAATTTCCATTCATTTTCACTTCATTTTATTATGCTCTCGTTTTGTACATGTCTTCATTGAATGGAAATTAGAATTGAAGTTTTTATTTTACACTTGGTTGTGCTGTATGTGGACTTTTTCTATTTAAGGGATGTTGCTTATCCCAGGGTCATGAAGATGTCTTGCCATGTTTCTGGTAGACAGTTGTTTTCTCATCTCTGTATAAATGTATTTACCCTTTATTATTTAAGTTGTCACTAGAGGTGAATTTTTTTATGCTTCATGTCAAGTAGAGGGTTATGGCTGCTATTTTGCCACATATTTGCTTAAAGTCATTTTAGTGTGGATTTTAAAAATTACCACAAACTTCAGGGTTTAAAATAGCATAAATGTATTATCTTGTAACTGTCTCATTAGGATCTCATCAGCTATCAGAAAACTGTTGGCAGAGCTGTGTTCCCTTGTCAGTTCTAGGGGGAAGGTTGCCTAGCCTTTCCCAGGTGAGGCTGTGTTCATGCCTTGCCTGATGCTTCTTAAGTTGGCACTAGGCTTAGGTCTTCTGCACCACATTTCTCATTTGTGATTGCACCCCTCCATCTTAACCTCCTTTTCCCTTGACAAAGATTGTGACTGCATTAGATCAGGGCAGTTATTTCAGGGTGCCTTCTGTGTTATGGCCGACTCACCAAATGGTCTTAATCTACAAAGTCACTGTCGATCTGGGCTGGTCTTCTGTCCTAGTTTCCTCTGTGCTGCTGTGGTAAAGTGCCCTGACCAAAGGCAATTCTCAGAGGAAATGTTTGTTTTGGCTCACAGTTCCATGTTACAGTGATAGCCCCTCACTGCAGTTTCACATTACCGTCCGTCACTGCCATTCCATGTCACAGTCCACTGCTGCTGAGAAATCACAGCGGAGGATCTTGGGACAGCTGACTACATCACATCCACAGTCAAGAGCACAGACATGGATGTAGCCTTGCTCCTGGCTTTCTGCTCAGCCTACCTTCTTTAGTCTTGTACCTACCCATGAAATGACTCCAACCATACTGGTGGGCTTTTTACCCCATACCAACTAAGAAAATCCCTCACTAGTATGCCTGTTGGCCAGTTTCATCCAGATAATTCTTCACTGGGACTCTCTTCCCAGATCACTCCAGACTGGGTCAAAGTTGGCAATCAGTTCTTACCATCACATCATATAGATATCTAGGTATCAGAGCATGAACCTCTTTGATTATCTGCCCCATCCATTAGTGTATCTATCCAGCTGATGGCACTGATGTGTTTTTTTATTTAAAGATCTTAATTTTAAATGTGTATCTATATGATGGTATTTGTGTACATTCATATGGGTACCTATGAGGGCCAGAAGAGGTATTGGAGTTCCTAGAGCTAGAGTAATAGATGCTGGGAAACAAATCTAGATTATCTGTAAGTGTAGCAAGCCCTATTGGCTACTAAGCAACCATTCTGGCTCCTTATTATCTTTTCAAACTCTTTGTATGTGTGTGTTTATATTGTTATTATCTTTTCTACATTATGTGGAAATATTCATCCTTGAGCCCACTGGAAACACCACCTTCCTTTGGATCAAAATTCATAATAACTATTTCAATAAACTTCAAAGCTTTGTAATATCCAGCAATTCTAGTTTTATTCATATCTGTTTGGATAAATTATATTTTCTGGAAATTTGTCTACTTTGTCTAAACTCAGCTAATGTCCATAAAATACCACATTTTAATGTAGTAGGTTATACAACAACTCAGTGTCCATCCTTTGGTAATTTGTTCTTTTTTTTTCTTCCCCTTGGTTGGACATATTGATTAATTTTACTACTTTTTCTTATGTACCTTCTTGTTCAACTTTGGTACTTTCAAGTCTTGCTTTTATTACCCAATTCACTTTTACTGGTACTGGGTTGCTGCTCTTTGGGTCTAACTTGCTCTACAGGATATATGTTTTATTGGTATTTTAGCTCTTCATTCATCTTCTAATTTTATTGAGTTAGTTTTTATAACTCAGACCTCATCATTTTAAATTATATAGTCTAGTGGTTTTCCATCACAAATGTTGAATTCTAGAGAATTTCTTTTCACCTTGTTATTCTCATTTTAATTCACTTTAAATTAATTTTATAATTAGGATAAAAACTGATGAATTTCAATAAGGCATTTTCATGCATATGCATGATCATACCTCCTTCTAATTCATCCCCATTCCTAGCTGCCCTCTTCTACCCCAACATGACCTCCTTGTTTGTCAACTTTCTCCCCTCAATATCCCCTTAATCCAGAAAATTATGGACTATTTTGCTCAACTCGTTAATTACCAATGACCACTCATTCTTGTTTATGGATTTGCCTATAATAGTAAATGAACCACATACATGACAGTTACTGTCCAGCTTGATCTCTTAGGAATGATTCGTCCAAGGTTTATTTATTCTGATGTCATCTAACAGTACTTCAGACTGCCGTATTATGGTTCAGTTCTTTCCATTATATATATGCACAATATTTGTTTATTAATGCATAAACTGATAGAACTTTTGGCTATTTCTATTTTTTCATTTTTGGAGTTAGTTTTACTTTCTGGTCTGTGAATATGTGAGTGTGTGTGTGTGTGTGTGTGTGTGTGTGTGTGTGTGTGTGTGTGTGTGTGTGTATAGCTTATGTGTATGAAGGCCAGAGGAGGATGTCAGATGTCCCTCTTCATAATGCTCAACATTATTCCCTTGAGACAGGGTCTCTTAGTGAACCTGGAGCTAGGTTGGTGCCAGCAAACACCAGCTATCCTCCAGTATCCACACTCCCTAAATCTCCCATGGTCCTGGATTTAGAATGTGTGTGATACCACATCCATGGGGGATTTGAACTAAGGACTTCATGTTTGTGAGGAAAGTATTCTCGTCCACTGAATCATTTCCCTCAGCCAATTTCTAACTTTTGAGCTACAAGTAAAGCCACTATGAAAATTCGTATGCACTTTTGTGCATGTTTTCAGAAATACATATATTTCTATACATCACATTTGGGCTTCTGCTCTCCCTTTGGTGGATACTTGGGGTTTTAGTCTTGAACTTGGATTTACAGGACAGAAGGAGTAAGATGTTGGGGAAGTCCTGTGTATATGTCAATAAATTACTGCTGGCCAATAGGAATCTAGATAGGTGGGGCTAGGAGTCCAGGAGGATTGTGGGAAGGAGAAACACAAGGGAGTCGAGATGTAATGCGAATAGGGTAGGAAGCCCGGAACTATTCTCTGGTAAGAGACATACTTAGATTAACAATTATGGGGTAATTACTTAAGTCAGAGCTAGCCAGTAAGAAACAAGCAAGGCCAACAGCTTCATAATTAATACAGCGTCTTGTGTGTTTATTTGGGATTAGAAAGCAGCAGAGCCCAGGCAGCTGGCAGGGGATATACCAAAGCGGCTAGCAAGAAAAAGCTTCTCTTAACAGTAAGCAATAGCATAAGTGGCCCTGGGGAGTAGAAATGACTTTGAATAACTATTCTCATAGGAGCTAGAATTTACACAACTCAATCAAGTTCTCTAACATATGTGTCTTCCATCACTAACTAAGGATTACCATGTCACATGTGGTTATATTCAAATATTTAAAGCTCTCTGTCTTCCAGAGAGCAGACACCACATAAATAATTCATGTAAAATTATCAGAATTGAAACTACAATGATTAAGTTTCCTGTTTTTATATATCAGAAATTTCTGCTGGAATAGGTATCTGGCTACTTGACATCCCACCAATAAGAGAGTACATAAAATTAAAATTGTAGGCACAACACAAAACACACAGTTGGAGAACAATACTTTGGAAGGAAATGTGCTGTGTGTGCATGAAGGACACACCCATGAGTCCCACATCAGTGAAGGGCAAGGAATCTGGTGGGAAACTAGTAAACACTGAACCTGCAAGTCACAGTATGCCAACACAGCATTTACATTAAGTGGTGCTCAGCATTACAGGATCTGAAGACAGCTGTGCAAAGGTCTTTGCCCATCTAAATGACAGCAAAAGAGTTGAAAATACCCATTATTCTTGTAGGATAATGATGAGAATGAGTGGCATGCTAACAAGTTTGTATGTAATTTAATCATTTAAAATATAATTGTATGATTCCTGCTTCTAAAGCCTCTGACGTCCCCCCTCATATTCCTGCCTTCTTTTTCTTCATTGTGGTTATGTAGTTCATTTTATCTGCAACTAGAGATAACTTTCTTTTTTAATTTGTATCCCCTTAATTTTCTTCTCTTGCCTTATTGCTCCAGCTAGTGCTTCAGGTACTGAATTAAAAAGGAGTAGGAATGATTAACGGCTCTGTCTGCTTTTCAATTTTAATGGAGTTCTTTCAAGTTTTTTTCCATTTAGGATGATGTTGGATGTGGGTTTGTCATATATAGCTTTCATTATATTGAGT